AAAAGACTTGCTCTAACTTTCAGTGGCTGCCAAGTTCCACAGGTCATTATCAAATTACCCAGGCGTTTTGCATACGTGATATTCAGGGTGACAGGTGTGCCTCAAAGGCTCTATTTGTGGGAACACATTATTTATGTGGCTGCTAGTCTGTAGCTGATGGGAGTTGAATACAGTATGTGGATTTAGATTTGAAGGGCTCTGAAAAAGACCTCACATTTAGGACAAAAACCATCACCTTCATTTTGATAATCTGTGGTTAGGTGGTAGTTGTTGAGTGTGTGTGTTGAATCCAGAGCCTTTACACTGAGGCACCTCTCCTACCACCCTCACCCCATTTTTTAAAATGTTGAGACAGGGTCTTGCTAAAGTGCTAAATCGCCCAGCCTGGGCTCAAAGTCAAAGACCTGCTGCTGCGTCTTTCCACAGTGCTAGCATTCCAGGTGCGCAGCACCACTCCCGGCTCAGTTCATTTTTATAAACAGTATAGCAGAGCCACTGTCAGAGAGTCAGAAGTCCAGCAAAGACCATAAATTATATCATTCTCATGAATGAACTCATGTGATTAGTATCATAGAGCCCTAAGAAGAAGAGCTTCATTATGGAGTCTAAGGTGCTGGGTTTCCAAGAACTTCGGGGGTTTGGTAGCAGTATCGCAGTTAACTACTGTGGCATAGTAAACCATCTCTTCATGGTCTTGTGGGTCAGGAATCCATCCAGATAGAGCTTAGGAGGAATGCTAGTCTCAGCTCCATGATGCTTGGGCCCTTATCTGGGCAGATGTAGGGTGACTCAAATGTTGGAATTTTCTAGAGGCTCTTCACTCAAAACATCCGGTGCTGGGGTGGGATGACTCTTAAACTGTTGATTAGAATGTTTACCAGTCTTCCACATGACAGGATTTTTCAGTGTACAGCGACCTTAGTACAGTTTATTTTTCACATAGTGCCTTGCGGATAGATCCTAGGGTTAGTCTTCCAGAGAACAAGGTACACTCTGTGTGGCCTTTTCTGAACTGGGCTCAGCAGTGTCACTTCTGCTATATTCCACTGGTCAAAAGTCACAATTCAGGGGCTGGAGAGATGGCTCAGTGGTCTAGGGCGCCTACTTGAAACAAGCTTGGCAAAGCATAGGGACCGCGGTTCGATCCCCCAGCACCGCATGCCAGCCAGCCCCGCCCTCTGGTGGGCTGGGCTGGCCACACACACACAATAAATTTAAAAAATGTAATAAATAAAAATAAATAAATAATTTTTAAAAAAAAGTCACAATTCAGCCCTATTCTACCTCTTCCTTCTCCTCTTCCTCCTTTCTTCTTCTTTATAAATTTTGACACAGGATCTTGCTAAATTGCTAGGTTGCCCAGGTGGAGCAAAAATTTGTGATCTTCCTGCCTCAGGATCCTACTGTCTCAGACTCTAGGGTGTTGGGATTATGGGTGTGTACCACCATGTCTGAATTTTATTTTTTCTTTTCTTTAAGCTGGTCTTGAAATCTTGTACTCAACTGATCCTTTGGGGTCAACCTCTGGAGTAACTGGTAATGGAGTACAGGCCACTGATAGGTTTTTTTTTTTCTTTTTTAGGAGCCTGGTGCAGCAGAGAAACGGGCAAAAGGAAAAAGGGAAAGGGGCTTTGTGTGGGGAAGATAAGGAATTCTTTGGATTGGAACAAAGGGAAGCTGAGGCTTTTATGGCCTTTTGTCAGGGGTGGAGGTCTTTCCTGAGGCAAGAGGAAAGGTGAAAGAAAGTGGTATCCTGGGCTAAATTGGAGAAGGGGTGGTGGTCTTGCTTGGGAAGATGCCCTTTGTTTTAAGGGCATCAGCCATATTAGATGACCACCATGATTTCAGCAATTCATACTAGGGCCAGAACATATCAGCCACCATGCCTGGCTTGTCATCTTTCTGACCCATGTCTGATTTTTTATAATTCTCTGCTATCTTCAACATAAAGTCCGGAGGCCTGGATAATAGCCCAGTAGAATAAGCGCTTGACTGGCAAGCGCAAGGTCCTGAGTTCAATCCCGGGTAGCCCCCCTGCCACCCCCCTAACACAGGAAAAAAAAAAAAAGGATAAAGTCCAGTGCCATTAGCATCTCATACAAGTGTCTTTTTTATTTGGCCCTAACCACTTGAAACTCACACTGTATGCTATAGTCCAAAATATAACCACCAGCAGAGCATAGTTCTTGAGGTTAAACCCTACTTTCAAAGGCCTAATTAATTTCTTGGAATGCAAAAGAGGACTTTTTAAAACTGGGGACAGTCCTCAACAAAAATGTCCTAGTTCCCAATGTTTTCTGTATTCAGCTAAGTTTTTTTTTTTCCTTCTGGTGGTGCTGTAGACTGAACTCGGGGATGCTTTACATCTGCCCTTTTATTTTTAGTCAGTCTGACTAACTTGCCCTACTGGCCTTAGGTTTGAGATCCTCCTGCCCCAGCATCCTGAGCTGCTAGGATTATAGGCATGCTCCATCACAGCTAGCTCAGCCACTTCTTAAGGGTGTAGTGTACATTGGACTCTAATTCAGGAGCCAGGGGGCCTGGCCCTACCTCAGTCCTTTAAGTGGCTGCTTCCACAATGCTGTCAGCCTCAGGTTGCTGGAGTTCGAACCTCACACCTCTCCCTCTGGCCAAAAGTGCCCTGAAGGCATTCGAGGAACCAAAAAAAAAAAAAAAACAAAAACAAAAAAAACCTTATTCCTAATTCAGGAGCCAATGTTCTCCTTTTACCCTGGACTTTCTGTATAGACATCAGTCCAATGGTACTGACTCCTTTAAGCCCCATGGTAAATTGTTTCTCAAGAGGCCTTATGCTTATCCTTTGGGGCAGTCTGCCTCCTATTAGCCAACACCTCTGAGTCTATCTCATTCATTCAGCCTCAAACTAGCGAAGCTGGGGCCGGGCAGATAGCTCAGTAGAATAAATGCTTCTCTGGCAAGCACAAGGGCCTGAGTTCAATCCCTGGTTCCGGAAAAAAAAAAAAAAAAAAAACCAACTAGTGAAGCAGGGAGCAATACTCCCTTCTTTCACCTGGTCTCCTGTGTCTAGATCTAGTTTTATTTTTTTTAATTTGTTTTATTTATTTATTTTTTAGATCTAGTTTTAAATATTTTTTTGTTTATGGTGCTGAAGATTGAACCTAGGGCCTTGAACATGTTAAGGCAAACACTTTTACCACTGAACTACATCCTTGCCTCATCTTTAATGTCTAGTTGTGTGATTATCATCTAAGATCACATAAGAGTATGTGAACCTGACACAATTTCACCTGTTTATAGCCCTGGAATTGAGGTCCTGATTCTTCAAACATGTCTGAAAATATCCATATTTACATTTAGGGGATTCACAGAGGCCTGTGAAGAGTGTAAGTATGGTTTCTGCATAAAACACAGAGGCCCATTTAAAACTCCTATAATTTTCACTGGACATAGTGGCATATGCCTATGACTCCAGCACTTGGGAGACTGACACAGGATCGAAGGAAGTTGAAGGCCAGCCTTGGTAAAAGAGTGAGTTGAAGGCCAGTCTAAATGCCAAAAACAAAACAAAAAATTCTGAATTTCAGGTAAACCATGAATAATTTTTTTTATGATACTTGATATCATATCCAGAGGTGCTCTACCACTGTGTACAGGTGACCAACTATAATTCTATCAGTCAGGGCAATTTAATAAGATCTCATCTCAAAGTAAAAAATAAAATAGCCTAGGGATGTACTCAGTAATAGAACACCCTTGAGCTTGATCCCCAGTACTGCACAAATAAGTAAACAAACTGTTGTTTATCTGAAATTTAAAACTAGCCATCTGTATTTTTTCATGCTAAATCCAGCAACCCCATCTCTAGGCCAACCACAACTTTTCTAGGTTTATGGCTTGCACAGTAAGAACTGGTGAAGACAAAGTGGTTTTTTTTTTTTTTTCTTTTTTTTTTTTTTAAAGAGTTGTTCAATCAATTAACAATGAAATACCAGGACAAAGGATAAACTGAAAGAACTCTTTCAATTCCTTTACCACTAAATATATCAGGATATTGTTGTCATCTTGGAGATCTACATTGTAATTGACTGACTATGGGACTGACACATCACCAACAATTATGGCTGAAATTTCCTTGTTAAATTCCTAGAACAGAAGAATGTGTGCGTAATACCTGCTTTAGGGAGGCTGTGAGTTTGCCAGTCTGGGTGGGCTTCCAAGTGAGCTCAAGGCCAGCCTGAACTGCATAGTGAGACCCTGTTCGAAAAGAAGGAAAGGAAAAAAGAAATGTTGCACCAAATTCTTGAGAACATACTTATAAAATTAAGTTATGTAAGTAACAGATGTTCAGACTGAGGAAAGGAAGAGTTGAAGTACGGTACTCCCTGCTATTCCACAAACCCTTGAAGCCGTGGGAGAAAACAAAAATCTTTATTTTTTACTGTTAACAGTCCCCAAAAAGTCACCAGTTAAACATTTTTAATGTTATCCCTACAGTGCCTGTAATCAGGCTAACTTCTTACCAAATTTCTTTTTACAGCCTATTTTTTTATTGTGTAAATTTTATCTGCCTCAAAAAAAATCAGGATAAAAAGTTGCAACAGTACAGAGGAAAAGCCAATTTCCCTTCCATCGCGCCCCCACTTCCTGGACTGCGGGTTCTCTTCTTGGGTTGGTGGCCCGAGTCTACGACAGGATTCCCAGTTACCCGAAAGTCCTGACTGCACTTTCCAGCATGTGGATAAACTGCACTTCGGCAGGGAAGGATCCAAAGTTTTACCTGAAGCTCAATAGTGGTTGTGAAATCCCACCGCAGGACCTACAGAAGGCCTCGAGTGACCAGAGACGAGGGCCAAAACCTGTAATAACGCCACATGGGTCGCGGGGTCCTCGCCAACGACCCGAGGGGTAGGAGGAGGAACGGGGGCTCTTCCTTCCCAAGTTTTCCGCCTGCCGCATTCCTTCTCTCCAACGCGGCGGCGTGCGCTGACGTCATGACGCACACACACGCAGCCCCACCCCTGCAGAGCTTGGTGCTGGGACGGAACCTGGGTTCCTCTCTAACCCGGAATGTGAGGCTTCGGCTCGGTTGTCCGCTACTCGCTGTCCTCCTCTAGAGCCAGGTTTGCATCCGCTGTCCCCGGTGTAGTCCCTGAAAAGCCAGGGCAGCCGTGCCCTCTGCCGTGGACCCGCGTGGCTGCCGCTGCCCCTCCGAATCCTCCGGGGCCGCAGAGGAGTTCGCTACGGAGGGAGGTGGGGGCCTTCGGGAGGCGGCGGAGGAGGAGGCGGAGGAGGAGGGAAGGAAGATGGCGGCCGTGGAGCTAGAGTGGATCCCAGAGACTCTCTACAACACCGCCATCTCCGCTGTCGTGGACAATTACATCCGCTCCCGCCGAGACATCCGCTCCTTGCCCGAGAACATCCAGTTCGATGTTTACTACAAGGTACGGACCGTGGCCTGCTCGCCGATCTCCTCCTGCCGCAGCCCCTGGGGCCGCACCCCCTTCCACGTCTGCGAACCCCGCGTTTAACCCCTCGCCCTCGTAGCAGGATCGCCTTCGAGATGTCTGGCGTGGGGTCCGCCTTACCAGTACAGCACCACCAGGTTGCCACATCCTCTGGCTCCCAAGCTTGGGGCCTGATCGTCCTGCTAATCAGTCTTGCTCTTTTTGATGTTCATTTCTGCAGTGGCCCCCTTGGCTAGGCCTTTTGCGTTTACTTCCTCTATTGCGTCCCTGTCCCACCCGGTCTGTCCCTCCTATATCTTTGGGATATTTACGTCCTCTCCTCCCAATTAAGTGTCAGCATCAGCTGGACTTTTTGCTGTCCCACCCCACCCCACCCCACCCCCACCCCTTCCTACTTTCTCTTTTCGTTGCCCCCTTACCCTGTTTACCCTGGGTTTGTTGTTGTTGTTATTGTTTTAATAGATGAACTTTGTTTCCTTCCCTTTCTGTTCTCAGTCGGGAGTTAAGAATCATTGGAAATGGTCTGTGTGCTTTATTAGCAAATCTTTAGAGCTTAGTGGATTTTATTTTTGTATTTATTTTTTACTGGTTGTTTACATTGGGTGTTTACATTTGGTGTTGAATTGGGGATTTTATTAATATGAGAATGTTGACCCACTCCTTGAAGAGGAAGAGGTGACATTTCCTGAAAGAAAAAAACTACTTTTGAAATTTAAATCACGTCCATGTATTTGAAAGTTGCAATCTTGCGGCATTCCTAAATCGCTCCCCCTCAAAAATCTGAACAAAATGTCTTCAAGTCACTCTCCATGGACTTTCAAGGGTAAGTGACCTTAGATAGGGACAATTTTTGCAGTGTTCTTGAGAGGGAGGAGAACTTCACAGCACTAAACTCAGCCTCCCTTTTTCTCTTCCCCCCACATTTGGACGTGAATAATGCATTTATTTTTCAGACCTTTTTGCCTCAAACCGAGTAGATAACTACTCTCCAGTAGCCACCCTTGCAAAGTGTGACCCGGGGTAGGACTTACTATCTTTTAGAACTTAAATATTTCCTCTTGATTTACAAGTTGGCTGGAACAGTATAAACTGATATTTAACGTATGTGTATATTTGAATATATATGCGGTCTTTACGGCAGTTGTTTTATTGAGAAGATTGCTTGCTTTCTCCACCCTCAGAAGAGCTTCAGAATTAGCAGCTGGCATACTGCATTCAATTAAATCCAGCTGCTTTGCACCAATTCTAACAGTTACAATATTTTTCCTCTACAAATTTGGAGAAGATTCTTTTTGGCTATGCACATTATTATGATGATTCCTGGATTTGGAGACAAACTTCTCTCTGTTCCAAATCCCCAGGATACATAGAGTTACTTTTGTGTATAGGTAGAAAACTTTGCGTATTTAAAGCAAATTAGATTTGTTTTTTTCACTCTGGGAAACTGCAGTGTTGTGTGTGCTATCTCTTCTCTTTTATTAAATCGTGTGTAATCAGATACACTTTTTAGAGGACATCTCTGGGAATTTAACCTGTCACAGTACTTTTACTACTTGAATTCCCTCAAAATATTTGGGTATCTTCTCGTAACTTTCACTTCTATTTGAAGCTTTTCCTTTGAAGATTATTATTAGCGAGTATGGTGTTTTTGTCTCGTGTCCTGCCTCACAGCTCACAATATTAATATTTCTTCATTTTGTTAAATTTTTACTTGGTAATAGATCTATACTTACTGTGTACTTGGCACTGTGCTTAGATGAAGAAAAGGTATTTGTGTTAAGTGTTTTTACCAAGGTTGTCCTGTGTAAGCCTTGTAGTTAAACTGTGGAGTATAGCCCTGTTGTATAGGTAAAAATGCTAAGTAATGTGGTCAAGGTTTCAAGTCTTGTGTTTAGTTCCTGGATACCTTGGGTTTTTTGCTTAGAATGATTTCATATCTTGAGATAACAGGTTTTTTTTTAAGTAATAGATAGATTGAATTATTTACTAAGGCAGGATCTCACTATTAGTGCTGGCTGGTATTGAACTCATGTATAGCTCAGGCTGGTCTTGAGGTCCCAACGATCCTCCTGCCTCAGCCTCCTGGGTGCTGGGATTACAGGTGTGTGCCATCACACCCAGCTCTGTGAGGGTGTGTGTGTGTGTGTGTGTGTGTGTGTTGGTAGATTATTTTAATGAAAGACATTGTACCACTATTTTTTTTATTAGCACCTGTAGTAGATAAGAGTGAAAATCAATCTGTTGTTAATGCTGTAGCAAGGAAAATGTAAACACTACACCAGCACATAAAAATCAGATGTATTTTGGCTAGGCAAGGTGGTACCCACATGCAGTACCAGCTAATCCTGAGTGTGAGGTAGAAGATCACAAGTTCAAACCCAGTCTGGACAATTTAGTAAGACACTGAAAAAATAAATAAATAAAGAAGACCTAAGGTATAGGAGTGTAGGAACGCCCAGGGCTCAATCCCCACTACTACAAAAAAAGTGCCCTTTTTAAGCACTTTGATTCCACACAGCAGTTTAATTAATTGCCCAACCTTCGAAAATTTGGGGGGCACACTTTTTTTATAGTTTCTAGTTTTCTCCACTATAGAGCCAAGGAGAAACTCATAATCAGCTCTTTTCTACAGTCCTACCTTCCATCATTAGGCATAGTTGTAGACCAAAGTGTAGTATTTATGGAATCCAAAATCTCCCCATTCTTCTTGACTGATATGATTCGGAGTCACCGTTGGTTTTGGTTAGTAGCTTCAGCTGAAGGCACAGTCGTACGTAAAGTGCTGCAAGGGAAGGCTGTGGAACGAATTGGAGATGGAGGAGTACGATTGTTGACTGTTGCCTAAGAAGGGTGAGAGGAGTAGGTTAAATCGAAAGAGCAAAGTATGAAATGATTTTTTCCCTTAAAGAATGGAAACCAGGCTGGGCATGGTGGCACATGTCTGTAATCCCAGCACGTCAGAGACTGAGACAGGAGGATTGCTTCAAGTTTAAGGCCAGCATAGGCTATGTAGTGAGTTTATAACCATCCTGAGCTACATAGTGAGACTGTGTCTCAAATAAACAAAAGAATGGAAGCCATTAGAATATATTTAGCGGAATAGGTGAAATCAAAACAGAGTGGGAGGTTAAATGTGCCTGTTCAGCAGGAAATAAGTTACAAAGCACAGTCCCTGAGCAGAAAAGTCCCTTTTTGATCTTGTCCTCCTTCACCATGTATACATTAAGGTACATATCTGTCTTAAGGTGGAAGTAGGGGAAGAACACTGTCTCTGAGATGGGCAGGAAACCTAAGTTAGCCATTCAGGTAATTTGCAAAGACTGGTTGTCTCCATTTAGGAGGTGAAATCATCTGAGGGTAGGTGGAAGAAAGGTGGCTCTTGTGTGGGAAGAATACTTGGAGTTGGAAATGGCTACTGAAGGTATGGGGAGGGGCACTGAGGAAGAAATACGTAAAAGAATTGACAGGCAGAAGCCCGATGGTTCACTAGTAATCAACACCCTACCAAATGGTGACTTTGCTTCTGAATATTTTTTTCTCCAAGGACCTGTACCATTTTAGATAAGGTGAATTGAAAGAGTCGTTCAACTGGATACATAGCAGAAGGAAATACATTGAGAAGTTCCTTAAAGAATAAGGTTTATATGATCTTTTTTAATTTTAACTGCTAGTCTACTTTGTGTTGTTCAAAACAGAAAGTATGAATACAGTTACATTTTGACTACGGGAAGGTATTTTGTGTTTTAGCAATATAATCTTTTTGTTTTCTCTGTCTTTTTTTAAGACAGGGCCTCGCTATGTTCCTTAAACTGGCCTTGAACTGAGTTCAAGTCCCAGAGTAGCAGGGATGTACTGACAGCCATGACCATGGTTGGCAAATTGTCTTTGGCTTGATTTAAGGTTTGTTGTTGGTATTGTTTTAATTGCATGTCCAATGCTGAAATTCCTACTAATAAATGCTTGACTTAAGATTAGAGTTTTTCAGTGATCTGAGTGCCTGCCTGGCCGGCGCAAGGATCCAGGTTCAATCCCCAGTTCTGCATGCTGTGTCGTCCCTGCCCCGGATGCACCGTGCCAGTGTGGTGGTGCATGTTTGTAATCCCAGCACTGAGGAGGTTGTGACAGGAGGATCACTATGAGTTTCGAGCTGTGTAGCAAGCCCTGTACCAAATAAATACATAAATAAAAGATTTTTTTAAATTAAAAGATTAGAGTTTTTTCTTTTTTTGTAGAAATATGTGTTGTATATCTAACTATACATAGCCTCCACCAATACTCTGATACTCTTTTAAGATTTGTTGGTAATAAATTGGAAAAAACTTTGTAACACAGTATTTGACGACCAAAGAGTTAATATTCTTTTCATATAGAGAGCTTCGTAAGATGAGATCTCAAACTTAATGGGAAGGGATTCACAAGAACATAGCCACTGATACCATTGTCTGCATGGGAAAGTAGAATGTTAGCAACATATCCAGCAATGTCAGTTTAAGCTGTAAAGTTGCCACAATTGGAATTAGACTCACAGAATTTTACTTGTATAGGAAGTTGATTAATTATTAAACTCATGTAAAGGAATTAATTACCTGAGGAAAATGTACCAAGAAAAATTTAAAGCACAATGCTTAGGAGAGATGTCCATTTCAAGATAGGTTTAAGACTGAGGCAGGAGGATGGCAAATTTGAGTCCAGTTTAGGTAACCTTGTGACCTAAAGGAAACTGTCTCAAAATAAAAAGTGCTGGGGAACTAGGTCATTGTAAAGGCCCTGGCTTCAGTCCCCAGTACTGACCCCAGAAAAGGAAAGCCAACTGTCAGAAGATATGACATACTAAAAGAGTGGATCATTGACACAAGTGCAACAAAAGGAACTAGATTTATCAACCATAGTGTGATCCAGAAAGAAACCAAAGCATATTTAAGAATTCACTATGTGGTAAAAGTATAAGACAGTATTATATTTTATATCAGTTGGGA